TCCGATAAAATTAATGTAATAATTGAAGAATGCAATTTAGCAATAAATATCTAGTTGCTCTGGAATATGTCACTGGCTTCTGACATCTGACAAGTCTCGGTTATTCAAATCTGTTCGCTTTTTCATTATTAGTTTTTACAATCTTGTTAATAATGGTGAATTATTCAAATGCAGAAATGGCGGAAATGCATTAGGTATATGGCCTTGCCGACGGTAATGGTGAGTAAGCAGACGGATTTATCACCAGACATATCCCGATCGTGCTTTGCCAGATAGTAGAACCTTTTTTAATATTCATCGTCGTCTTGTTGAAACTGGTTCTGTCCGAAAAGGAACATCTGAAGGTAGACCTCTAAGTGTGACAACACCTGAAATTGAGGAAGCAGTCCTGCACGAAGTCGAAGAACATCCTGAAACGAGTACGAGGAAGATCGCTAGACACTTAAATATTTGCCATCAAATTGTTTGAGGAATTTTAGTGGATTTTTTGTTATATCCTTACCATATTTTAAGAGCATAGGCATTACTTCCGATTGATTTTCCAAGGCGTGTGACCTTTTGTCAGTGGTATCTTCAAAAAATTACGCAAAATCCGTTCACGGACGAAGCTAATTTTTCTCGAAATGCCATTCAGAATTTCAACAATAATCATTTGTGGGCAGAAAATCCCTGTGCCGTAACCAAAACCCATTTCCAACACCAATTTTCGGTTAACTTATGGGCAGGAATTTTTGGCAACCGCTTTATTGGCTCATTCTTCTTGCCGGGACGACTTGACGCACAGACTTACCTCAATTTTGTTCAACAGCAGTTGTCTTTGTTGCTTGATGATGTTCTGTTAGTAATAAGAAACAATATGTGGTACATGCAAGATGTGGCGGGCCCCAAGAATGGCCAGGTCCCTAGACCTCAACAGTTTAGATTTCTTTTTGTGGGGCTATCTTAAGACACTAGTATACACAAGTCCCATTAACACTGTACCTAGAGGAATTAAGAGAAAGAATAGTTGCAGCTTGTGACATAAAAAACACTCCAGGGTTATTTCAACGAGTGCGCAATTCCATGAAAAGGAGGGCGGAAGCATGCATACTAATTGAAGGGGGTCATTTTCAACAATTTTTGTAATCATTTCGTTGGTTGTTGTTGTTCATTACTTCTAATGTGTTTAATTTTTCCAATTAAATTAATAATAATTTTGTAAGTCAGACAATAGAACGGTTTTTATTTTTTTACTCAAAAATGGCGCATCAAAGGAAAACAATTCAAGACAGATCATTTGTTTTCAATTGAACGGAAAATTCAAAAATAATTTTCATTTGGCAAAAAACCATTGGCGTACCATTTTTTTCTTAAAAAATATCGAAGTCAATACCCGTACGCACGCCACTATGAATGCTAAACATTATTTTTGCATTGAAAAATATGTAACTTTATTAACTTTCACTATGTACTGAATATCAGTGAAATATCTGAAGCGGTTCTGAAAATATTAATTAATTACCATTTTTTTCCTAAAACTTCAACACCCCCAGGAAACATTAACTAACATTAATTTTTCATGCAAATTCATACCCTTAAATATTCGCATATCGTCCTTGTTATTTATAAGATGTCTCGTAAATAAACAGCCAAACTTCAGGAGGTTATACCAAAGGACAAATGTAAAAAAAAATTATTTCTGTACAACATTCCTTATTAAAATGACCAAACACTTTCCTCACTTGTTTACAAGTAGTTGTTGTTTGCCAGCAATAGGTTTACTCAGGAAAGAACAGCTAGCGCGCATGTGGAGCTTTAGCGAAAGTTGTTAGTTGCGCAAGTAGTTTCTGTCAAAGCAGAATTTATTTGCGAAAGCAACAAATGCATTCAAGTCCGCGTTCCAAGAAGCTTTCGTGCATTTTAGTGTTTACATTTGCAAGTTTTTCTGCAAGTTGGAAGCAAATAAAACTAACGCAAACGCTACATGCTACTGTAAACTCCCCTTAAATGCAGGCAATCACATTTACATACCTGCGTTAAGCATTTTAATATCAGGGTATATTGACGTGTGGATTAGAAGTAATCGCAAACGCTGTTTTGAGAAAAATCTGTCTCTCTGTATTTTCCTTTATGTATGAAATATGGACCCTCCTATAATTCAGGGCCACTTACCAGTGAAAATTCTTACAATTCTTCTTAACTGATTCGTATTACAATTTAAGGCTTTCGCAGTCTAGGAGCCATTGAGCCACTACGTACTACGTATTTGACATCAGTTGAGAAACGGTGGTCCGTATGAAGGTATATGAAACGTTTCCTTCTGCCTGTCTCTCTGTCAGTCTGTCTGTCAGTCTGTCGGTATGTCCGTAAATCCTTGACCCGTCTATAACTTGGGAAATTCTGCTCGAATTTGGATAAACTTTTTACACAAAAGCTGCCAAGGACGAAATAGTTTTGTAGTTGTTGACAATTGGTACAGTGGCTGTGGATAAAGAAGCCAAAATCGAAAGAAATAAAAATCGCTCAAACATCGTTTTTGGATGTTTCAGAGGATCCTGATTATTATTGAAAAAATTTTAAGGGGTAAACATTTGGGGGCTGTGGTTTGTAGCGGGTGTCACGATTTTCTGATGTTCCAACGCCGGTTATTCTACAAACCTATTAGACATATTCAAACATCATAGGTTTTCGCTACGTTTGCCCTTAAACTCCGAACGATAGAGAAATGTTTTCGACACTCGTGCTTGCGTCTAGCTTCATCGGTCGGCGTACAGGTCTTCATAAATGTCCTCGCCTGACTGGAGCTGTGCCGCGCTGCGCGTCTGCGCGGTCAGGTATTAATAATAATAATAATAATAATAATAATAATTTATTAGTCCTGTATGATCACAGATGTGATATAGGATAAGTCAGTCAGAGCACTACAAAAGCTAATAACAAATCATGTTAGTGTGGACGCACACATATTCGTACCACATATGGTATATTCCAAATATGGATACAGATACATCAAATTAGCTTATTCATAAAATTTATAAATATAAAACATATATTATGTATATATAAAAAAGTGAAATAAAGGACAAACCATTAAGTGACATTCAAACAACAATGATCAAAATCAAACAAGACATTTACACATTAAAAATTCCTCAATAGAGTAAAAAGCTTTCTCCAGTAAAAACTGTTTGACTGTTCTTTTAAAAGTGTTCAGTGGTTGTGATTTCAAATTGTTGGGGAGTCTGTTGAAAAACTTAATAGCCATGTATCTAGGGCTCTCCTCCGTTCTCGCCAATCTATGCGAAGGCATCTCCAATACTTGACTGTTCCTTGTAAAGTAAGCACCAGTGCTTACAGAATTGAACTTGCTCAATTGTGTTTTAGCAAGGATAAGTATATTGAGTATATAGGTATACAGATGGTAAGGTTAAAATCTTTAATGTTCTAAATGAATCCTTGCAGCTAGTGAGCCTTCCAATTTTAGCTATTACTCGAACAGCCTTTTTTTGCAACACAAAAAGTCTTTGCAGCTGGGACGATGCTCCCCATGCTTCTATTCCATGAATTAGGACTGAATGGATATGTGCATGGTAAAATATCAGTAATATCCACTTCTCCACAACAAAACTTAACTGGTACAGACAGTAACAGAGTGGGGCGATCTTTTGGCTACTTTTCTCAATATGCGTATCCCATCTACAATTTTGAGATATATATATATATATATATATATATATATATAGGTGAAAAATTAAAGCTTCCGCTTTTTGTTGGGTACTTCGACAAGATTTAAGCAAAGAGGACTCTTTATACTTTTTTTAATTCTCTCTAGCTTTCAATGGACTTTGCCATCATCATCAGGAGAGTAGTATGTGAGGATGTTGCTAATTGTTGTTTACGTATAGGATGAGGGAAACGTCCAGTAACATGGTGAGAGCTGAATAGATTGTACAATAGTCAAAATTTATACAAAACATGACAAGAACAAGTTAAAAATAGATTAAAAATTATTTTAAAAAATTAGAACATTACATCGTGAAACCACCTGATGATTGCACAAATTAGTGGACTAATTTGTGCAATCATCAGGTGGTTTCACGATGTAATGTTCTAATTTTTTAAAATAATTTTTAATCTATTTTTAACTTGTTCTTGTCATGTTTTGTATAAATTTTGACTATTGTACAATCTATTCAGCTCTCACCATGTTACTGGACGTTTCCCTCATCCTATACGTAAACAACAATTAGCAACATCCTCACATACTACTCTCCTGATGATGATGGCAAAGTCCATTGAAAGCTAGAGAGAATTAAAAAAAGTATAAAGAGTCCTCTTTGCTTAAATCTTGTCGAAGTACCCAACAAAAAGCGGAAGCTTTAATTTTTCACCTAACTGGTCTAGACGACAATGACCACGTCTCAAAGTATATATATATATATATATATATATATATATATATATATATATATATATCCCTATATTGGGGAGAGGCGACGTTGCCAGATGGCTGGGTAGGGCAGGGAAAGAGAGTTAACGGACTAATTGTATAGACCTGTTTGACCGACTTAATCCCTTTAATTTCTCTGATATAAGAGATCTCTAAGTGATGAGACTGATTTTTTTATCAAATCAGTGCTGGAACTACGATACTGGAACAGCTGATCGGTCACAGCCGTTTGAATGTTTTCGCCTGTCCCAAAATGAGTTCCTTTGATGTGATCCTTCAACTTCAAGAGGAAAAAGATCACATGGATTTAAGTAAGGCGAATAAGATCTAAAAATCATTTTACATCATTGCTAGACTCCATATTCAGCATCTCCGATATTTTAATTTCTTATTTAATTTAATAATTACACCACAATTCTTGGCGTCGTGCAGTCGCGTGTGCGTAGCCACACGCTTTTACTGTAATAATTTTATAATTACACCGGGTATCTGTTAATCGGCAACTAGGTATTATGTCCTCATTCTAGACGCAATATTTATTGATTATGCGAGAAAACTTTTTTCGGGGAAGGTCGTATTCTGGTAGTAAGTAGCAGCAAGCTGCGTTGAATAGGTAGTTCTAATCTAGATATGACTTTCCACTGATTTTTGTTCTAAGGAACAACGCGCCACCTCGCCGCCTCTAGTCTTTCGCGAACCGGAGTGAGAATAGCTGCAGGTTCGTCTAGTTAGCTCGGTTTTGGTCACCTCTAACTTTCTTGAAAAATTTTTATCCTTGTATATGGTGTCATTAAGTGTTCGCGAATGTGTTTGGAATACATTGTGTCATCGAAGTGACTACAGCGTTTAGATAACATGAATATTTTCGGCATTCAATAATATTTTTTTTCATCAATGTTGCAGATATACAAAAAATAGCACATATTCATAGTAGATGATTTCTTTGTTTTACATTCTTGAAATTATAATTTATTGGATCATCCTCGAGTCTGCCTAGATTTTTTCATTGAAGATCACAAAAGTTCAATTATTATACCTATTCTTAAGCATTCCGCAAAATGAAACAAAACATACTTCCAAATAATGTTACGCCTATCAAATATATTTTATTTTCTACGACGGATAATTCGGGGTTCCATACACAGTAACCAGCTTTTGTCACCAAATGCAAATCTTTCAGCTTTTAAGTAACAGTTTGCTTATCCGGTTAAGATGACAAGTTTGCCTAATAACTATGCTGTTCCAAATCGATTTTTGCAAACCTAATATACTTTTATAATACAGAATTAAAAACATTTTTTAATAGTATCTACTCATTTAATGATTGGACTTTTTTGCAAACACACGTGATTTAAGTAAGTGTGATATAGCATTTGTTTCACCTGAAGCTACCGCGAGAGTAAAGCTAAGATACCGGTGTACAGCGATTGCTATTAAAGGAGTTGAGAAAAGTTCATAAGGCGGCTTGGCAAAGCTTGGCTATCTAATAAAATTGGAAGTGCGTTCGGGAGCCTACTGTACTTCAATCTTTGTATATATCATAAAATTTGCTGTTCTACCATTTGACGTCAAGTAGTACCACTTTCATCAAAAATTTTATAAATGCCAACCTTCATTTATTATTGTTAGAGCGGTCAGTAGACTCTTTACTCTTTTTTACTTTACTTTAAATTTTGTAGATATATCAGCTCCGGTTGCCCAGATTCCAAACGAAGTTAGATATAAGGAGGGAGGGGAAAATGATTTAGGAGATCAAAGAGAACAATGTGCGTCGATTGGAGGAGTATCCTCGTACTGTTATCGAAGACAAGGGCATTCTAAATTGATCAGAAAAACTAATTTTGATGTTTGTAGTGACAAAAATGAATTTGGTTGGATCGTGACTAAAAAGGTCTTAATTGTAATCGCAGTCAGAGTCTCGGTCTTTTATGCTTGCCAACTAGTTCGACTGTGCGGTCCACTGTCTCACTCAATACAGGATTGTTGTGCGAACCATCGTGGCATCCAATATAATTGCTAGATTATTTTACACGCAGCGTTATTTCGTCTCTATCGTCAATATATATTAAAAATTATTACATATACTAAAACATTTTGCGTGATAAAGTTCCATCGCACTTGAAGACACCATAAAAACCTCTTTAACTCCACAAACCCTTACATTCTCCATATTAACAGCTTCGCGATGAGTTGGGTACCCCTGGACCTCGCGTCGCTTTGCACCCCTCTGGCAAATATCACCGCATGTCAGCCTTCGACTTTCATGTTCCTGCAACTGGTGGTGCGTGTATTCGGGAGACCCAAACCGCTGCCCAACGAGGGTGGATTCCAACAGCCCCCGCTGATCAATTTCTTCGACCATCAGCAGGGTGACTACGACTTTATTATTGTGGGGGCGGGCACTGCGGGGTGTGTGGTGGCTAATCGGTTGAGCGGTGTCAACAATTGGAGGGTGAGTAATTTTACAACTCCTTTATTCTGCAACTTTAACTACTTCCAGGTTAAATTAAGTGGCCACTCAGGCTATTCGCGCATCAAGGACTATCATAGATTCGGCAAAAAGACTTTTACGTACAGCTCATTAGGGGAGGGTATGGCAAACAGCCCCACAAGAAACAAAATAAAGTCGATATCCGTGAGACAGACCATGATATCTCTATGTATTTTCCGACGCTGAACCGACTCCGGGATCAGAAAAGTTTCTAGACGTCTCGAATTCACCTCCCGGCTCTAAAACTTACCTTGGGAGGGGTGACAATTGAGTTTTGGATGTAAGATACTAGAACATGGTATTCCCATATATTTTTCGATGCTGAATCCAAATTTGTGTTCGAAAAGATCCCTAAATCCTTAGAGTTTACCCCCGAGCCAAAAACTATCCTTAACAGGGGTTAAAATTAAGTTTGGGATGTCAGGTGCTGGAGCATGGAAATCCCATGTATTTTTCGACGCTGAATCCAAATTTGTGGTGGAAAAGATCCCTACATCTCTAAAGTTTATCACCTGGCCCAAAACTACCACTAACATTAAGTTTTGGATATCAGATGCTGGAGTGTGGTATTCCCATGTATCTTTCGATGCTGAATGCGAATTTGAGGTCAATGAAATTTTTCACCCCTGGAATTCTTTTCGACCACAAAATCGGATTCAATTTTAAACCCTTTTAGGAGTAGTTTTTGGACCCGGAGGTGAATTCTAGACGTCTAAAAAAAAAACATAGGAATATCTTGGTCTGCCTCGCGCAGATCATGACCTTATTTTTTTGTGGAGCTGTGTAATATGCCCTAAGACTTCCGCTAATGTGTAAAGTCATATTAAAAAAAACTTTGATTGTAAAATACATAATCGATATCAATGATAGATATCCTATACTGGTAAGAACCAAACGCGTTTCTCATCACTATTGTAATAGGCTGGAAAGTAGTTGAGAAAATAACAATAGGGTATGCTATGAAAAACTACCTTCATAAATCTTTATATTTACATAGACAATGATTATTAAAATAAATATGTGTTCCTGGCGCTGGATCTATAGAGAACTAAAGAGTCATAATTCAATCAGCCTATCAACCTGTAGATCGTGGGAAGGATAAGTTTACTGTGAATGGGATGGGTAGACAGTCATATGGAGATGCAAGCCAGGGCGGGGCCTGTTTTAAATTCCATCAAGTAGCCCATGTGGCGGCTGCTGCAGAATTTGGGACGTGGCCTGTTCTTATTAACTAAAAATACGGTCAATGTGACAGATTTAACACTTTTCTAAACCATGTCTGAGAAATAGTACTTCATATCTTTAAATTAAATGAAATATGTTGGAAAGCGCTCAATTTTCCAAACTTTGTATAGAAATTCTACTATGTATACTAAACTTATTTCTACTACGCAGGGTGTTAGTAAAGCAGTAGCAATTGGAAGGGGTCATTCATTTGGTGACTCAACGTCTCAAGGCCTTTTTCTCGAAGATCCTCGTGCCAACTTTGTTGAATGTTGGAAGTGTTGTTGATTGCAATAAGACGCTAAGGTAGCACTAACTAGAAGATAATTAATGAATTCCTATAACGTCATGGGGGATAGTCTTACTAATGATATTAGTAAAAAAATACCTCACAGACTTTTGGAAGAAATATAATTTTTTTTAAGTGGACAGCTAATATTACAAGTTTTTTTACTCTTGGTATTTCTTAGTATTTTACTTAGAGAAAAAACAATGAAAACAACTTCATTACATATGGAGAAATTGTTTAAATTTAATCAATTTAATTTGATCAATGCACACTATTTATTTGTAAGCCGTTTTTTTAAAGAAATGTTGGAAAAGACTACTTCCCGTTTCTATGCAGGCTAGCTGCTCTCATATTTCAACAATTTTTCGACATGTAATGAGGTTTGTTTTTATTTTTTCCCGAATACGGAGCAAGATACGAAGATATATCTAGAGACGAAAGAGTTATGCCACCAGTTGCTTAACCCGAAAAATAACATACTTTTTTTAAAAAGTCAGTGGTCTACATTTTTTGTCAATATTATTCGTGAGACGTCACTCGAATTAATAATTATCTTTTAGTTAGTGCTAACTTAGTGCCCTATTGCCATGAACAACACTGCTAAAAGTCAGCAAATTTGGGACAAGCATCTTTGAGAAGTCAATAAAAAACATAAAGCTTTGACTATGTTGAAAAGCCGACTTGATAGGTTACTATGAATCTTTTTACTTAAATTTGGTCCAGAAATGCGCATTTGTGATTATTATAAGTAAAACTCTGTATACTAATCATTCCACAATCAAAATACAGTCACTAAAGTTAATGCGAAGTTAATTCCTTCAACAACTTTTTTAAGTCCTAAGTTGTTTCCTATTGTGAGACCGATCTGTTAGCGAAAGTAATCCACGTATGTCTATACATTCTTTTAGTGATACCTCTCATGTTATTCAACAATTTGCATACGCTGATGGCAGCTGTTACGTCATTCTGTAATCAGCGATGCAAGAACCAATTTTCTTCCTAACTCTACAAAACTGAGTGCAAATCTAGTACAGTGATAGCTTAATCTCGGCGTGCGTAAAATTGATCGGTAATTGGTTTCAACATAAGGACATTCTGTTTTAAGTTTTAGGATAAATATTCCAAGTCGTTTGCATATTCGTAATACAAGTAACAGTGAACTTGGCATTGTATTTACGAATAATGAATCATTTAATTTCATACTGATGATGAAAAACCAGATAATGTTACATACGTATATCCTTGAGGTCTTTGCCACCATAAGGCTGGTAACTTAGCTGATTTCCACAAATATAAAAGTACTGGCTGACCCGACAGATGCTGTCCTGTCTTAGCTATGAACTGGGATGAATAATGAATAATAAAATGGAAATATATGGAATATAGTTAATTGTATAACGAAGTGTTTGTACCGCCAAATACGTTGACAGCATTGTTATTCCCCCATCAACTTACCTCAAAAGTAGGCATAAAATTATGAGGAATGAATTTTGTTATGCTAAATGACATCATTTGAAAGCAATTACTGTATTGCTGGATATGAGTAAAAAAATGTATAGAATCTGGCCCATTTCTGGAAACCAACGAATGTAGTGGCTCTGGTGGTGGTACCAATGGAGTCAATTTGATCTTTCCACTGACGCAACATGATCCAGGGGCTTCGTTTTTAAACTTGAAAGCCTTGCAATGTGGACTCACAACGTTCATTGGTCCAATAGCAACGATTTGTTGTGAACTGTAATCGATTGCCATGTCATAATTGAATGCAGCTCGTCTGGGATTAAATGGGACACTTCTACGTTGCTGAATGTCAGTCCTTCGATACGTTTCACTTCATTTCTCGCTTGACTTCTTCGTGTATCTTTGACTTGCAGCTTTGCGAGTTCTGCGACCTAGGTCGGTAAGTTTAATTGGTGGCATTTTGAAAAATTACAATTTTAATTTAAGGCGTGATTGCGACGAACTAATTTCCACCGTTGTTAATTATTTTTGAACAAATACGTCTCCAAAAACTCACTGAGCAAACTGAAAACAGGATCAAAGCTCCAATCGAATGGACTGTGCGCTACTAATTAAATAAAACACTATTTTTACATCGATAAACACTGTTAAATGATAATATAAATTTGCGGCGTGCGAGCTGACAAGTTCAAAATGATAGAGTAGTGAAAGTCAATTAAGCAAAAGATACGTATTTTCATCTGCCATTTTCATCCATAGAGTTAACTGACAAAGATAACAATTAGGCAACACTTTAGTTTCTTTTGAAGGGGCCATCACAAAGTGTGGACGGTACGACCAAAAACGAAACCATCGTGTTTTCATAGGCAATTTTCTCTCACATAGCTAACCGTCAATAGCTGTTGGAATAAAGATGGCGGAGAGGAGTGCCTGTCTCTTTTGGTACTTGAGATATTTCTTCTGCTCTGCGTGCTCCATGCTAAAGCAAACTGTCAAACGCGCGTATCTTAAATAATCATTATGTTTTCAATGATTTCCCAATTTTCTGTGCAATTTTCTTGATCTTTCTTCCCGTAAGAACCATCTATACAGCATTAGGTAACTTAAAAAAAAAAGATGAATGAAATCGGTAAAGGCGTTCTCACGCGAAATATGGATTCATTTTTACATTGCACGTATATAGATATAGTAACACCTCTTGCGTACTTAGCATTTTGAATAATGATACGATTTTTCTATATCTGTTTTATAAAAAGGAACAATGACTGATAAACCGCGTTTAAGGCCCGTATCGTCAGTCGTCCCTACAATTGTAGGGCGCGTTTATGGCCTCCTTGATTGTCATAGTTTTCTACTTCTCCGTGTCAGCGCTCTATTTTGAGGTTATGTCACAAACATCTATTTGCATCAAATTGTGCTTGCTTTTGAGTTATATCATGTTTTATCAGCCTGAAATGTCCTACAATTTAAAAAGAAAACATATCTTCACAATAGGAGAGCGATGACGCTGACACGGGACAAGTGTAATCTAGAAATTTTTGAAGGAGAGAAAGCAGTATGGCAATCAAGGAGGCTATAAACGCGCCCTACAATTGTAGGGTCGACTGACGATACGGGCCTTAGTAAATCAAAAAAAAAAAACACTAGCCGTACGCAATACTAAAACTTGACTGAAGCCTTAAGCCATTATAAGAATGTGATCTTTAGAATACAGCTTGAACAAACGCGTGCGGAGGAAATCCTCGAAAAAACTTAAAGATTTTCTTCAGGTTTAAGAGAAACAAACCCTCACATAGACATGTACAGAAAATTCTCAGGGAAAATTGAGTTACCTACTCGTACATGGTATTTTGTACCACTTATTGCTCTGATCTCTGCTGTCTGATGACTTTTAATATGAATAACTTTCTAACCACTCAAATTTGATGAATCAGTAATTTGACCAGCCAGATCCACCAAATATTAGCTTATTAGATAATTTCTTTAA